TTATATTATAGCTGTCTGCGTGCCTTTAGCTCGACAGCCCAGAGCAGGCATGGCCGAAGGTCTCCATGTTGCCAGCCAGATAAAGCGATTCCAAATACATGTGTTTTATAATGATATCACGAGCTAACTTTAATTCTATTTGTGTATGTGTGTGTAAGGGGGGGGGGTCGATTAAAATACCTGATAAGAGTGAGATTAAACTAGTACTAAGGCTATCAGAGCATTTCATGAGATACATCTTGAATCTAGTAAGACTGATATATTTGTTTGGGTTTTTTTTAAATTATTAATTAATTATCTACTCATTGAGGGCCACATTCATTAATTACTGAACTGCTAGCAGACGCACTTGGCCCGCGGATCGTAGTTTGCCCATGCCTGACCTAGAGTTCAGGCAATCGGTACTGCTTTGATTGCCATAACAGTCCCGGCTAATTGGCCAGTCTTGCTGTCACTTTGGATAATATCTCTACTAAATAGAAATAGAAATAAAAACGTTATGATAAATTTAACTTCATATTTTGTTAAGGAATGCGTGGCGCAACTTATTGTCAAATATCCCCTCAACTATTGAACTTAGACTCTCCAACTTTTTTCACAACGACTTATGTCAATTTGTCTCAAAAGATCAACATTTTTGTAAGGCGTTTCCCACTGTTAAGGTGATCGCCTCTCTTCTAATAGATCTCGGGCTCGAATTCGGATAGTGACGGAAAATGTTCTTCTCTAAAATGTTCTCTTTTCATATCTTTTCCTGCTCTCTTTCGCCTCCTCTTTCTGCCCCCACCTCATTACCTCCTTTGCCCCATCCTCTAGGCCCCTGACGCCTTCTGCAGCCTTTCTACTGCTACTCCTTGGCTCCTTCTTATTGCTGTCTTTCAGCCGCACCCTTGATCTTATGGTAGGTAAAACCTATTACTTAGCCTCCTCAGATAAGGGCAAAAAATCTCCAAGGTCCCGTGTGCAAGTTGCACACGTTAAAGATCCCTTGGTGGTCCAAAATCGATAAGATTAATAGTACGCTTCCGCCGCCACCCGGGCAAAATTCAAAATTCCTATACTGAAAATGTTGAACGTGTCCCGCGCGCTCATATTATCATTTATTATGGCTTTATGCAGTTGCGAGGGCTGTAAAACAATTGAAAAAAAAATTCGCTGTACTCCTGAAAATTCCTTGATAAATTCTAATTTTAACTCATTCGCTACGCCGAGCCGTGGGGGGGCGGCGCGGCTAGAGTGCCGTCAGTACGCAAAGCCACCCCCGGCGGCTCGAGAACTGACGTTCAATTTTAGCTTGGTTTCTATTCCTATCCACATATCCATGTTAAAATAAAAGTCATAATATAAAATTGACTTCCGGGTCAAGTGTTTCCACCGAAAATCGGAAGTTTTGATTCAGTTTTGAAACACGATACCGAAGTTTATGCGACATTGTTTTATCGCGAAGCCCAAATTATAGCCAGACACCAGTCTTTGTACTTTTACACAACAAAATGTATCATTATTTTGCTCACTAAA